GAAAAATTGAGAGACTGAGAGATTCATAAAAACAGCTAGGCAATAACTGAGAGACTGTGAAAGACTGTGAGGGAGACTGAAAATTTTTGTTTAGGGAAAATTCAGTTTCCAATTTTCCATTTGCAAAAAACAACATCTTTTTTCATATACCCTTTAATTTTGTATTCTTGTCACCGATAAAGTTCGTCATACTGGACATTCTGGATAAATAAAGAACAAAAAAGCAACAACAAATTACCAAAAAGTCTAATTGAAAAATAGTCAGGTTTCCAACGACACATTTTGTAGATTTTTTAGAGTGTAAATTAAACCATCTAGGAGTAGGACAATATTACCCTGTTGGTTGCAAAACTGATTTCCTGATCCGGATTCTTTGCTCTTGGAGCAGATGTGCAGAAGACTTACAAAACAGGCCAGGAGATCGACTGCTACGGTGATATATACTGATGATAAAACTTATAATCCAACGTATGCCTGGCACTTGACAGAGTTCTTCGGCACGCGACTAACATGTGGTGTATGACCACGTGCCATGCAAAAGGGGGTGGACATGGGGAGAAGGTCCATTGTGGACATCGAATAGTATATATATGTGTAACATGTACCGAACACCGGTGTGACGCGCCCTTTTCTAAACCTACGTAAATACAAACTAAGTAACGCAACCCTAAAAATGATAATCACCAAGAAATCCATCTCAGATAACATTTAACCTATTTGACAACGAGAAATGAGATTAAGTGCATTGATAGATTAATTATCATTTCCAATCAAGGACAATAAGACAATAACAATTTTCACATTAATTATACTTCATTTACTTTCTGTAGCGATGTGTCCCTTCCAATGTCTTGGATGCGCGCTGGCAAAATCGTAGGTAGGGAGAAAAAAGCTCATTATACTCTCGACTCTTGTTCATTAAACATACTTTTTCATACAGTACCTGCCAAAAGTTTTGTTCAATCATGAGTAGTAGTGCGAGTCGAAAACAAGCGTTAAAGCCTTTAATATGTCTTCAAATATAAATAAACNTATGTTCCATTCACTTTAAGATATGTGTATGATGAGGGGGAACGATGTTTTCACTAATTTGTACCAATGAAACGAAGTGATTACATGCTAAATTCGATGCGCTTTTCTACCTTGCGCCGGTCAAACTGAAGGTCACATCGCTACAGAAAGTAAACGAAGTATAATATAATTAATAACAGTAGTAGATTTTATAAAATAAATTTATAACACTAGGTGTAACATTTATTCATAAGTTATGGTGTTCTGCGATGCTTATTTGTATTATTATTTTGTTGCTTCGGTATATGTTAGAAACAAATATAGGAGAAGTATTGTAGGTAGGTACAATATCTTTAACTGATTATAGATTTTTCCGGCAGTTTATATTCAATACTGTTCCATGTTTGAGTATTTCGCTGTATGGAATTCAGTGAAAATGACACAATTGCGTGCGGCAAAAGTCATTCTGGTAATAACTAAAACGGCGCTTTAAAAGCATCATCATTTATTATGGAGGGTGGAGTTCGACGTCAATGGGGTGTCATTGGGGACATGTACGCATATGGAGCACTATGTTGCGCAACGACAGGCAGGTATTAACATCAATATTTTATACGTACATTGAAGATGACTTTTAGATATTAAACAACGTGCAGGTTACGTTAAAACAGGTAGGCAACTACCTCCCAGGGTAGATTGTGATTTTTATTAATAAAATAAAAGAAATAATATTAATTAGAGTAGCTGAACTCCTTGAAATTTGATACCTTTCTTTATGACACCTAGTCAAATGTTAAGCTCCAATCTATATATTCACTTTCTTTACTTGTTGTATTCTTGTTTATATACATATATATCCAGGAAATAACCCACTTCAAGTTGTGCTGTACATTTAATAAACACCTTGCATACAAATCAACATCATAAGTTCGTCAGTCTTAAAACTGGTAAGACACGTACCTCCACTCTTTCCTATCCTCAGCTAATCTTCGCATTTCCCTAAAACTAGAACATCTCACATCCATAACTATGTGTGAACAGAAATCTAATCTAGGTCTACCTCTACTCCTTCTAAACTCCTGCTTCTGCCTCTAATATGTCTCTGAGTAGACCTTCATGCCTGAGAAGGTGTCCTACCAACCAATCTCGCCTATTTCTTATTGACTTCCATAGAGTCCTCTGTTCTCCTATTTTTTCTAATACCTCCTCATTTCTAACCTTCTCTATCCACGGTATCCTCATCATTCGGCTATAAAACCACATTTCGAACTCTTCTAATCTTTTCTTTTTTTGCCGCGCCCACCGTTCATGTTTCGCACCCGTACACTGTCTCGCTTCAAACATACACCCGTACCAATCATTTTCGAATTTCTAAATTAACCGTTCGCAAGCATACTTCGTATTATTGAAGGTGACTCCAACCTGCGCTATCCTCTGCTTTATATTCCTACTACTCCTTCTGTCCTGACTACTCTGACTTCGGTTACATATAAGCAACCTTTTATTATAAAGTATCATTTATAATCCTGGTGCAACAAATATAATAAAATTAGTCTGTCTAATGTTTTTTGAAGACTATTTGTTTTTGACGATAGCCCCCCCCCCATACCCATTCTCCAAAAAACGTGTTTCCTAGAATGAATAAAAGAACACTTTCACATTTTGACTCACTATTTAGCTCGGATAAAAAGTGCTCTTAACTTTTGGCGACAGTTAGTACCTACAGATTAGGGCCTGACCTGCACGAGAGCTCCCTAATCGAACAAAGGGTTTCGTACTTGGTCACGCAAGGGAGAAACAATGAAATTATCACGCGAAATAGAGAGACAGACAGAGACGGACAAAATGGTAAGCACGCCACGCCGTAATAATAAAAGTATAGATGGTGCGTGTGGTACATTTGTCTAAAGACCGAGATTAGATATCGATGCGTGACTGGACGACGAACCGGCAGATTTTTCCACGACAAATAATAACGTTAAGTGTGGACACACGTTCAACAGCCACTCTCGTTTGAGTATCCAGAGAATTATCGGGAGGCTCATGAGGGCGCTTCAGATACAAAAGATTTTTACGATCGTCAGCTGAGATATACAAAACAATTTGTCTAAAAGAATAGCTCTTGTAACTCGATTTTATCCGGTCAAAGGAGAGTACATACGTATTGTTTGCTTCTCTAAGTAAAATTTACTGCTTAAATGAAAAGCTAGACAATGTTATGAAAACGTAGACTGTAGAGAATTAAAGGGAAGTTACGGGAACAGATATGGAACATTTAATAATCTCCAGGGCAGATATCTTTTACTTTAGACATCAAACTTTATAAAACTTAGGCACGTTTTCATATTCAATTTTCAATTTTGTAGCAAGTAAGGATTTCTCACTTGAGATTGAGTTGACAAAAACGGTAGAATTTTGGGTTTTAAAGTGTTTTTTATGTTACAACATCCATAATGTCTAATCTAGGTCTACTTCTACTCCTCTTAACTCCTGCTTCTGCTTCTAATATGATTCTAACTAAGCTTCATGCCTAAGAAGGTGCCCTCTGTCCTCTGTTCTCCTATTATTTTTAACAGCTTCTCATTTCTAACCTTCTCTATTCACGAAAATAGTCATATGACAAGTAAAAGACTTGTATATGTTCCATTCACTTTAAGATATGTGTATGATGAGGGGGAACGATGTTTTCACTAATTTGTACCAATGAAACGAAGTGATTACATGCTAAATTCGATGCGCTTTTCTACCTTGCGCCGGTCAAACTGAAGGTCACATCGCTACAGAAAGTGAACGAAGTATAATATAATTAATAACAGTAGTAGATTTTATAAAATAAATTTATAACACTAGGTGTAACATTTATTCATAAGTTATGGTGTTCTGCGATGCTTATTTGTATTATTATTTTGTTGCTTCGGTATATGTTAGAAACAAATATAGGAGAAGTATTGTAGGTAGGTACAATATCTTTAACTGATTATAGATTTTTCCGGCAGTTTATATTCAATACTGTTCCATGTTTGAGTATTTCGCT